CCAATGAATGTAGACACCCATATAATAATAGCTGAGTTGAGATGTTTTTTCATGAAGTTGCCTAGTGAAAGCAATTCCTCGTAGTACATGGTAGACACCCAAGGACAGAAATGAATAATCAGGATCACAGTACAAATACACAGAGGACACATAGTATGGAAGGATGTCAATCACCCCCACCGCGATGATCTTTTGGTCCAGCCAGTACGGCTGGTGAAATGAGCCATAGCCCACAATCTGGTCCATTAGGGGGGTTCTCTGGCTCCAAAGGTGAGGTGCAAAGGAATCCTGTGAACTGGCTGACCGTGGGCTCATCAGGTAAGTGGTTGTGAACGTTTACAGACCTGGTAAAGTTTATGTACCTGGAACGACTCCAGCACTGTGACTTTGAACTGAGAACTTGGTGGAGATGATCTCACCACCCTCACCTCTAACTTATGTGACGCATCCTCTGGTAAAGATTCAAAATTAACTCTTCCAGCGATTTGGGCTGGTTGGGTTTGGCTTTTGGTTCCCGTGCAGCCTGGAAGCCCTCAGGCGTCTGGCCGGGCTCTGCTGCATGAGCTTTAACCTCTTCCTCTCCTTCCGGATTTCCTTTGCTTTTCGACAGGGAGGCTTACTCAAATCTGCCCCTTTGCCTGGCTTAGGAACCGTGTGCCCAGCCGTGTGCGCTGTGTGGGACGGTTCCCCAGAGTCCAACTCCTCTTTTTTGTCTTGTGACTGAATAAATTCGTTAGATTCCTCTTTCTTTGCATTTTTTCCTTTCTTCTTTGCTTCCCTCTCTAAGCTCTCTTTGAGGTTATCACTGAGCTTTCTGAGGTCACACTGTATACCCAATTTATTTATTAACGCCATGTCACTGGCGGCGGCATTCTCCATGGTGGGCTCCATAGGCTCATCCTCACAACTTCCTTTGGAAATTTCCTCTTTGGCCAGAAATTTCAACATTTTTTTAAAAAAACCTTCTTGTGAGATTTCAAAGGCTGGAACTGTACAGGTCAGCACCTTATCGCATACTGAGGACAACACGTTTGATTCATCACAGGCTTGTACACATATCTCCACTTCTTTGCCATCCGCGGTCTATCAGATCCTGATAGTCCTGCACTGTCCTGGAATGTGCACACATGCCATTGGAGCGTCTTCCCGACTCGTTCTTGCAGTAACGCGGCGCCAGGGGCCCGACCCAGACGTTGTGTTTCTTACAAGTTGAAGGCAAGGCCCTCCATCAAAAAAAATGATTATGACTTGCTTTACTACATGAGGGCTACTAAATTCATTCAAACATTAGTGTAAATTTCTTTCTCAGTTTAAACCAAATGTCATTTAGGATTCTGTGGGAAATTAGACTTTGGCATAATATCAGATACTATTTCTTGTAATTCCCATTAGCCATATCCCTACTTCCATTCCTTTTAAACGGAACCCCAATTTTGTTCACATATTGGTAGCAAAGTACTCAGAGCTATACACTCAGCTGCAGAAGATGAATCACAATTACATCAAGTTCTCCTTTGAGTAACTGGTTTAGTGGTGGGCAGATGACCCAGATCTAGACAATGTCTTGATAGGATATCTGTGGGGTCACCTTCTGGATAAGGTTTTCTTCCTTGATTTATAAAAAAGAGGAAGACAAAACATTCCAGGAAAACTCTCCTTATGCCTAATTTTGGATGCACTTCCGTGCGAATCTGATGCCTGTAGCTTCAATAGCCATCTTTGGGCACTAGAGAACAAAAAAAAAAGAAAGGAAAAAGCCAAGCCTCTGACACTAGCTGACTGGAAAGAAGGAAAGTTTGGGACCTTGAGTATATTACTGAGCAACTCATTAACCAACCCTAGAACCCTAGAACTACTTTCCTCCAGACTTCTTGTCATGTGAGATGTCCGTAATATAAATGTCTGTAATATAAATGACTTTTTGTTGAGTACCCTGTTACTTAGAGCCAAAATCTATCCTACCTGACATAGATATAAAAAGTTTACATTTGTGGGTGATTAGTACAGCTTGGAGAGACCCGAATAAGCCAAGACTTGTATAGGGCACTGGATTACTAACCCAGGGAGTGTGTCAAGCAGGTAGGTCAGAGAAGTGACCTTTGTGTACTCACATCAAGTGACAACTTTCAACTACAATCATCTCTTTATAAATACAGAAAAACGCTAGTTCTCAAAGTTGTATAAACAATAAAAAATTCCAAACCTAACCAAATCACCGGGCTATGTGGCCCAACATGCCTTTCTGAATATGCACATATTTCTGTGACCTCAGATCAAGTAAATGTGTCTATACTATGCCATGTACCTTGTCAACTACCCAACACCTTAAACTGTATAAAACAGAAACACAATGAGTAAAGTGGAAACAGCACTAGATGTGAAATCAAAAGCCCTAGTAGTGATTTCTGGCTCTACAAATTACTAGGTCTAAAATTTCAGGTTTCAATTTTCTCATTTGCAAAATTGAGATAATAATACTTATATCATGAAGTTTTATTAGCATTGAATGTTAGAGTGTAAAAATGTATATTATAAAATAACATACAGAGCGAACTGTGTAACAACATACTGTAAGCAGTTATTTGTAAAATGAATGAATGATTCTTTCATTTGCTATAAAAACTGACAAAAGTCAATCATCTTTTCAAGTTTGAGGAAGCCTTCTTTGTATACCATGCCCACTGACATAGTGGAGACACAAAATCAAAGAACAACATATGCCAAAATACTTGTATTTGTGGAGTTTATTCTATTAATATAAAAGTATGCCATTTATTTGTTGAAATTATGATACAAAAACATGACAGTCATTATAAGAAAAGAGAACAGTATAAGAAAAGAGAACAGACCAATATTCCTCATGAAGGAAGATTTTAAGATTGTAAACATGTTTTTAACAAATAAAAAGTAATATATATATATATATATATATATATATATATATATATGCTTACATCATAACTAAGTAGAGTTTATCGCAGGACTAGAGGGTTAAGAAATACAAGGTTAATATAACAGTCAAACTCAATTAATGTAATTCACCATATTAACAAACTAAAAGAGAAAAACGGCGAAATAACAACAGCTCCACAAAGATCATTTGACAAAAAAACTGCATCTATTCCTAATCAACTGTTCAACAAACTAGAAATAAAATGGTATTTCCACAATCTAATAAGAGGAATCTATGAAAAAAATTTCAGAAAACTATGAAAAAAAATATTCATAAAGATAGTCAAACAGACAGTAAGACAAAATCATTCTTAATAATCCAATCGAAAAATGGGCAAAGGACCTAAATAGACACTTTTCAAAAGAGGACATTCAGAAAGCCAAAAGACATATGAAAACATGCTCAAAGTCACTAATCATCTGAGAAATGCAAATCAAAACAACAGTGAGGTACCTTCTCACACCTGTCAGAATGGCTATCATCAACAAATCAACAAAGGACAAGTGCTGGAGAGGATGCGGAGAAAAAGGAACCCTCCTGCACTGCTGGTGGGAATGCAGACTGGTGCAGCCACTATGGAGAACATTATGGAGTTTCCTCAAAAAACTAAAAATGGAACTCCCAGTTGACCCAGTAATCCCACTTCTAGGAATATATCCCAAGAAATCAGAAACACCGATCAGAAAGAATATATGCATCCCTATGTTCATAGCAGCACAATTGACCATAGCTAAGATTTGGAAACAGCCTAAGCGCCCATCAGCAGATGAGTGGATTAGAAAACGTTGGTACATCTACACAATGGAATACTATGCTGCTGTAAAAAAGAAGGAATTCTTATCATTTGCAACAGCATGGATGGAACTGGAGAGCATTATGCTAAGTGAAATAAGCCAGTCAATGAAAGAAAAATACCACATGATCTCATTCATTTATGGATAATAAAGACCATTATAAACTGATGAACAAAAATAGATACAGAGGCAGAGCAGCATCGAACAGACTGTCAAACTACAGCGGAAAGGCTGGGGAGGGTTAGGGGTGTGGGGGGTAAGAGATCAACCGAAGGACTTGTATGCATGCATATAAGCATAACCAATGGACACAAGACACTGGGGGATAGGGACAGCCGGGGGAAGGTCAAGGGGAAAAAAAAAGGAGACATATGTAATACTCTTTGTAATACTTTAAGCAATAAAACAAAATTCAAAAAAATAATAATAAAAGACTGAATGCTTTCCCTCTACCCTGAATCTCCCCATTAAATCAGGAAACCACCTTCATCTCTCCAATTAAAAAATCAATTGTATTTCTTAGCACTGGAAATGTACAATATGAAACCAAAAGTAGGCATAATTACAAAATGGTCTCCAAAATTCCCTCCCAATAGTGTACATGATTTATATCACTTCCTCCACTGGAATGTGAATGACATTACCAAAATGATGGATTTCACTCCATGATTATGTTACATCTATAGCAAAAGTTAATTTGCAGATGTAATTAAGATCTCTCAAATCAGTTTATTTTGAGTTCTTCAAAATGGAGCTTATCTGGTTGGGTCTGACTTAATCAAATGAAACCTTCAAAAAGCATGAATACATTTCTCTTGCTGGCCTCAAAGAAGATGGAAGCAGCCATGAGTTCAAAAGCTGCAAGGACTTGAAATCTGCAGCCCACCTGAATGGACTGGAGAAGCACCCTGAGCCTCAGATGGGAATGCAGCCTTGGCTGATCCATTGACTGTAACCACATGAGTCCTGAGCAGTGGGTCCAACTAACTCATTCCTAGACCCTTGACCCATGTAAACCGTGAGGTAATCACTGGGTGATATTTAAGCCATTAAGTTTGTGGTATTATTTCTCAGCAATAGAAAACTTATCTAGATACCATTTATAATAGCATCAGAAATATAAATAATTGGAGATATATCTGACAAAAGATGTGAAAGACCTATAGAGTGAAAGGTTCAAACTATTGCTAAGAAAAAATAAGCCTAAAGAGATGGAGATATATATCATCTTCATGGGAAGATGGAAAACTTACTGTTGATAAGACATCAATTCCTCTTCGAATCAATCCATTTCAATTCAATCCCAATCCATATTGCAGCAGACATTCTAAAATTCATGTGGAAATGCAAGGGACCTGGAATAAACAAAACAACTTTGAGAAAGAAGAATAAGTTGAACAGTAACACTTCAAGTATCCAAGACCTACACAGCTATAGTAATTATACATAAAGATAGTCAAATACTAGTAGACAATAAAACAAAAGGGAAAGTCTAGAAAAACTCCCACATCTATACTAATAAAAGGGTAGTATACTAATTAGACCGAACATATTCCGGACAACCTTCTGGACAAAGCCAGAGGTGGTTAGGGGCGATCAGGCCGGCAGGGAAGAGCAGTTAGGCGGCAGGTGAATGGTTAGGAGCCAGCGGTCCTGGAGGCCGGCAGGGAAGAGCAGTTAGGAGGCAGGTGAATGGTTAGGAGCCAGCGGTCCGGGATTGTGAGAGGGATGTCTGAGGGGTCCCGGATTGGAGAGGGTGCAGGCCGGGCTGAGGAACCCCCCCACCCCCGTGCACAAATTTCGTGCACTGGGCCTCTAGTATATAAATAATTGATTTTCAACAAAGATATAAAGCAATTAAATGGAATAATAGCTTTATTTATAACTAGAGGCCTGTTGCACGAAGAGATTCGTGCAATAGGCCTTCCCAGCTGCTGGCACCAGTTTTCCTCCAAATGTTCATCAACAGGTAAATAGATAAACAGTGGTATATCCATACAATGGATTACTATTACTACTCAGCAATAAAAAGAACAAATGAATGACACATACTACAATAGAGATTAATCTTATAATTATGCTGAGTGAAATAAACTAGATAAAAAAGTATATGCTGTATTATATAAAATTCTAAGAAATAAAAATAAATGTAAATAAATTTAGCACCCAGATCTTCACTTTTAATATCGTTTTCTAATAAATGGGTGGTTCTTCGACTAAGGCAGGAAATACACAAGATGCGTCCAGAGTATCTTGTAATGCAAGAAAATAAGAAATGCCCTGTCTGGTGTGGCTCAGTTGCTTGAGCATCATCCCATGCACCAAGAGGTCACTGGTTTGATTCCAGGTCAGCGCATATGCCTGGGTTGTGGACTTGATCCTGAGTGTGGGGCATGCAGGAAACAGCTGATCTATGATTCTCGCTCATCATTGATGTTTCTACTTCTCTCTCCCTCTTCTTTCCTCTCTGAAATCAATAAAAATGTATTTAAAAAGTGTGTTTAAAAAAATAAAATAGCCCAGCTTGTGTGGCTCAGTGGTTGAGCATCGACCTATGAACAGGAGGTCACTGTTTGATTCCCGGTCAGGGCACATGCCCAGGTTGCAGGCACAATCCCTAGTGCAGGGCATGTAGGAGGCAGCCGATCAATGATTCTCTCTCATCATTGTTGTTTCTTTCTTTCTCTCTCCCTCTGCCTTCCTTTCTGAAATCAATAAAAATATATTTTTTAATAATTAAAAAAAATAAAATAGCCCTAGCTGGTTTTGCTCAGTGGATAGAGCTTGGGCCTGCAGACCAAAGGGTCCCGGGTTTGATTCTATTTTTAAGTGGGTGAACTGTATGGTATGTGGATTATACTCAATAAAGCATCTTAAGTGCTTTAAGCATCTTAAGTGGATTGGAAAGATGAAAGTCTAAAAACAGCAATAACAGCATTAATAATAATAAACTAGTTCACCTCTCTAGCCTCATCCCCTATCCATAATGGCCTCATTGCAGTTCCTATATTATGTCTTCCTATTTGAGGCCCTGTGAACATATTATATCTGCTTCTTGGAATTCTCTTCACCCCTCCTCTACATGCCTAATCCTTTATACAGTATCTAAAATTAGTCAGAGTAAGCTAACTGCTGGAATCAATCCAGTCACCTAACATCATATAGGTATATTTCTCACTCATGTAGACACTCCTCAGGTCATTCAGGGATCCAGGCTTTTTACCTCTACTGGCTTTGCCCATCCTGGAGTCTCTTGTCTTCCACTGCACTCTGCACACCTGGCCAAGAGGACCTGTGGGGCATCGGCAGAGAGAGGACTTTGAGGAACTTTCCAAATGATTTATTCAGTTTTGAACATGGTATATTTCATATGATGTCAAGGTACCCAATGGTCTTAGGCTCAGCACAGAGATTGTTAGTTTAACTCTGTATCTCAAATATATTGCAGAAACCCCCCCTCTCTCTACCACATATTTATGAATTAAGAGGTGCTGTAAAAACTCAAAGATAATTATTTTCAAGAATAAGAATGTTGAAGGGAACCCTGACCGGTTTGGCTCAGTGGATAGAGCGTCGGCCTGCGAACTGAAGGGTCCCAGGTTCGATTCCAGTCAAGGGCATGTACCTTGGTTGCAAGCACATTCCCAGTAGGGAGTGTGCAGGAGGCAGCTGATCGATGTTTCTCTCTCATCAATGTTTCCAACTCTCTATCCCTCTCCCTTCCTCTCTGTAAAAAAATCAATAAAATATATTTTAAAAAAAAAGAATGTTGAAGGGAGAAAATACTGTTCAACATCTCTTTCAAGACACTTATAATTTAGCACAGGATACAGGGGTGGGTAAAAGTAGGTTTACAGTTGTTTGTATGGAAAATCTATATATAGGAAAGGCTAAGTGACCGTCCGTCCATCCAACCGTCCGACTGACTGGCCGGTACATATGACACCCACTGGCAATTAAAAAATAAACGTTGACTCACGCATGCATGATACATATAAAGCTCTTGCTGGCGCCAATCGCAGGCATGTGTTTTGATCTGTCATTGTTGATTGTGAATTTGGTTGTTTTTGTTGACATTTCTATTACAGAGAAAGGGCGAATATCGATATTAAAATATTTCTTCTAATTAATTTCCTTTCAATGTGCACGAATCCGTGCACTGGGCCTCTAGTAACACAATAATTAATAAATAATGATACAAGAATAAACTGTGTTTCCCATGCTCACAACTGTAAACTTACTTTTGCCCACCTCTGTATAAACTAAAGCTAAAGGAAACTTCCCTTAAAGTGCTATGTATTAAACATTGGAATGGATTCCTCAGGACAAATTAATGACAAACAACACCCAAACTTTCCTCGTAGTTAGAGAGGTGTTGTCAACTCTCTTCCACACCCAGACCTCTGCCACATTGTCCAAGAGGAGCAGGACATGTTGACTGTGGTAAGAGAAATTTGGAAGTATTCACTTTTATGGAAGTCATAAGAGAGAGAGAGAGAGAGAGAGAGAGAGAGAGAGAGAGAGAATCTCATATATTATTTAGGATCATCCTTGATACATTTATTCTAAAAGACAATATAGCCAAATATCTCCCTCTATGTTAAATTTGTACGAAACTGAAATCCTGAAAATTCAGCTGTTGGTGGAATCCATTTGTTTTTTTTTCCAGTTAGACTGGGCATAATCCCTAACTAGTAGTACAACATCTAATACACTGACGAAGTTCCATCTCACAGCACCTGCTGTTCAGAGTGGAATTCAGACTGGCGTTTGGGAAGACCAAGTCCAGAATTTCAGGTCGGGTCCGTAATTGGGGTAGGGAGGGGCTTGGGGCGGGGCTTCCAGATGGGGAGGAGTCGTTATTAGAAAGCGGTGTGGGGCCAGAGCAGAGCTGTCACTACTCTGGAGGTAAGCCTGGGACCATGTGAGTGAGCGAGGATCTGGAGCGCAGCCTTCCCAATGAGAACGTTGCCCCGGGCATCTGAGCGGAATCCGCAAACCTCAGGAGTTGCTTGGACCTGCCCAGCAAAGTGAGCGGCAGCGAGCGCTGTCGCCAACTACAGGGAGCCGGCAGAAACGCTCCTCTCCCCGACCACGGGCTGCACCTGAGAGGTGCAAGCAGCCTCCGGGTGTTAGCGAGAAGGGAGGCGGATCGCAGTCAGGGGTCGGGAGCTACACGGCCAGCACCGGTATGAAGCCGGAGAAAAGGTCGGGCGATAGAGCCGCATCTCATTGCTTTCGAAGCCGCCGCCGCCGGAGTGCCGACTTGTGAGTACTCTGCGTCTCCCGCGCTCAGACTCCGGCCGGAGAACTCTGCTGGAGAAGTCTCCCCGTTAGCACACGAGCTCCCTGCACGACCCGTCCTGCTCTCCCACGCGCCCAGGGACCGAACCGCCGCCACCTGCCCCTGCCGACTCCATGGAGGGCAAGGGCAGTCGCTGACCAGCGCCGCCCCCTTCTGACCCGGGAGGAGGAGATCCCCACCTCCAACCCCGCCAGGTCCGGTCCCATTCAACACCCCTTTTCTCCTCCAGCTGCTCCTAGATCCCCGACACCCCCCTCCTCCTTCCCCGATCCCTCCTCCCTAGAGTCAGGGGAGGAGAAAAGTGGAGTCGGGTCATTATGACAGAGCTGAAGCCACAGGCTTCCCGGGCTCCCCACGTGGTGGGCGGCGCGCCCTCCCCCATCCAGGCCGGCTCTCCCCTGCTGGGACGCCCGGACGCCGGCCCCTTCCAGGCGAGCCAGACCTCGGACGCCTCGCCAGGCTCCCTGGGCGGGCTGCTCTTCCCTCGGCCCTGCCAGGGGCCCGGGCCCGACCCCGCCTCGAAGGCGCTGGGCCAGCAGGCGCTGTCAAACGTGGAGGGGGTGTATCCCAGAGTTGAAGCCACAGGAGGCGCCGGGGGCGGCCGCTCTAGACCCCCCGAGAAGGACAGCGGGCTGCTGGACAGTGTCTTGGACACGCTCCTGGCGCCCTCGGGTGCCGGGCAGAGCCACGCCAGCCCTCCCGCCTACGAGGCCAGCAGCAGC